AGGAGTCATCATATTTCTTGATTTCAAACTATATTACAAAGCTATAGTTACCAAAAGAAGATGGTACTGGCATAAAAACAGACACATTGACCAATGGAACAGAATAGAGAGCCCAGAAATAAACCCCCACATTTACAGTATATTGATCTTTGACAAGGGAGGCAAGAATACACAATGGGGAAAGGATAGTCTCTTCAGTAAATGGTTTTGGGAAAACTGGATATCCATATACAAATCTTACACCATACAGAAAAATCAACACAAAATGTATTACAGACTTTAACATTAGACCCGAAACTGTAAAGCTCATAGAAGAAAAGATAGAGAAAAAGCTTCTTGACATTGGCCTTGACAATGATATTTTAGATATGACATTAAAGACACAGGCAACAAAAGCAAAAATAGCTAAATGGGACTACATCAAACTAAAAAGCTTCTGCACAGCAGAGGAAACCATCAGCAAAATGAAAAGGCAATCTGTGGAATGGGAGAACATATTTGCAAATCAGGTATCTGATAAAGGGTTTATATCCAAAATATATTAGGAAGTCATAGAACTCAATAGCAAAAAAACAAATCATCTGATTAAAAAATGGGCAAAGACTATTTCTTCAAATAGACATTTCTCCAAAAAAGATGTGCAAGTGGCCAACAAGTATATGAAAAAGTGCTCAACATCACTAATCATCAGGGAAATGCAAATCAAAATCACAGTGAGATGTTACCTCACATCTGTCAAAATGGCAGTTATCAAAAAGAAAATAACAAGTCTTGGTGAGGATGTAGAGAAGAGGGAACCCTTGTGCACTGTTGATGGGAATGTAAATTGGTGCAGCCAGTATGGAAAATAGTATGGATATTCCTCAAAAAATTAAAAATAGTACTACCATATGATCCAGCAATTCCATTCCTATTTATCCAAAGAAAACAAAAATACTAATTTGAAAAGATGTATGCACCCCTATGTTCATTGCAGCATTATTTACAGTAGCCAAGATATGGAAGCAACCCAAGTGTCCATCAACAGATGAATGCATAAAGAAGATATGGCATATAAATACAATGGAATATTACTCAGCCATAAAAAGAATGAAATACTACCATTTGTGACAAAATGGATGAACCTGGAGGATATTATGCTAAGTGAAATAAGTCAGGCAGAGAAAGACAAATACCATATGATTTCACTTACCTGTGGGATTTGGAAAAAAATGAACAAACAAAACTGAAATAGACTCATAGATACAGAGAACAAACAGGTGGTTGCCATAGGGAAGGGGTGTAGGGGGATTAGTGAAATAAGTGTGGGAGATTAAGAGGCACAAACTTCTAGTTAGAAAATAAATGAATCATGAGGATGAAATGTACAACATGGGGAATATAGTCAATAATATTGTAAGAATGTTTTATGGTGAAAGATGGTAAGTAGACTTATCATGGTGATCATTTTGTAGTGTATAGAAGTATCAAATCAGATGTGTTGTGCATCTAAAACTAACATAGCGTTGTAGGTCAACTAAACTTCAATTTAAAAAAGAGAAATATACTACTGCAGAAATTGCTTTAGTCTTTGCTTGAAACTGGTTACTCCTCATATGACCATGCCATTGTCCAACCGCTCAGCCACTTTGGAGCCTGGCTGCTTGGCTGCTTCTATGCTATATTTGGACACAGGAATATTTTCTGAGACTGGGAGCTCTGTGGTCGAGAGTTGGCCTCACACAGCCATTTAACTCAGAGCCATTGGCCTCACACAACCATTTAACTCAGAGCTTTTACCCTGGGTACAATGATGGAGGGGCCCCAGGTGCCCACTATCCTGGGTCCCATAAACCTCCACCCACCTCCTGGTTTTGAATTCTTCCTGCCATCGGGGCTTCTCCTCTAACCTCCCTGCAAAAGACTTCTTTTTCCTCTTCCTCAGGAGCACCTAGAGTAATTTGTCCAAGTAGCCAGGGTTTTCACAAAGTTATCTTTAAGCAACCTCTGCTTCTAACCTTGAAAGTTCTTTAGGCAAAAGACACAAGGATTAGGCTACACTTTTGAAACAGGGAAGGGAAAAATACCAGAGGATAAGAATCAGCACAGATCACATTCTTTCCAAATCCTTTTCAGCAGTGAAACCAAAACGCTGGTTAATACTTTAGTAAATTATTCTTCCACATTAGGAAGGGGAAAATGCTGGGAAAACTGAGAGATGTTTTGTTTATTTTGCGAAAAGAAAAGTGGGCTTGTATACTTTCAGTTAAGGTTTGTTTGTGTAACTTTTTTTTTGAAAAAAAAAAGAAAAAAAGATAAAGGGACAGGGAAGAGCAGGCAGGTCTTGTTATTATTTGGGAAATTCCTGTTTTCATATGTATATATCTCCATAGCCTCATATTATTGAATAAAAACATGTAGAGACTTATGTTGTTCTGTATAAATTTTTTATACAATAGTGAATAAAATGACCCTTCTCCCAGTTTCTTCTTTGGTCCTTGTTTGATAATGCCATCACTGCCTCACACATATATATTCTTTCTGCTTCTGCAAGCAAAAATATGGTTCTGGGGGCTTACCTGGTGGCACAGTGGTTGAGAGTCCGCCTGCCGATGCAGGGGACACGGGTTCGTGCCCCGGTCCGGGAAGATCCCACATGCCACGGACCGGCTGGGCCCGTGAGCCATGGCCACTGAGCCTGCGCGTCTGGAGCCTGTGCTCCGCAACGGGAGAGGCCACAAGAGAGGCCCGCGTACCGCTTAAAAATATATATATATATACGGTTCTGGAAATCTGGAATTTTAATCCCAGGATTCAGTAAAGAGCACTAGCATTGAAACTTAACTGTTTTTTTCTGGGAGCAGCAAGATGTTGGGAAAAAGGGTTTATCTTTGTTTCCTATTTCTACCATTCTTTATGAAAAAATGCATCAGCAATATTTGACCTTATGAAAAAGGGATCAAAATACATAGTAATAAGTGGTACTCTATGCGTCATTTGAGAGAAGGGACTAGTACACAGTTTCTTCTTCTCTCTTTGGAAAATATGAAGATGAAATTTAAAAAGTGGTCTGAACTGGGGAGAGAATTCTTAGACTTCTGGCTGACCTGCCCTTCTACCCTCCCTCCTGTTGGCCTATGTAATCCCTGTGATTGAGAATCCGTTGTTTTATACAAATTTCTTTCTCACATTCTAAATCAGATCTTTTGGATCATCTTCAAAGATTTCTTCCAAGTTTTCCATTGTGAAACCTGTGCCTTGTGATTATGGTCTACAGTAAGGCCAAGGAGAATAGTTCCTTACATTGCTTCTGGCTCTTTCTCTGGAACAGTTTAGATAAAATGAGATGTATAGAAAAGTCTCTGAGATGTTTAAAATACCATGCAAATATAAAATCACATCAATATTTGTTTTCCTCCCCAGAAAAAAAGAAAGAAAAGAAAACCCATATAAAAATTAAAAATGAATGGATAAAATTCCTTCACAAGTAGGTTGTGTAGGTTGAGAATTCTCTGACCAAAAGCATAGCTACTGAAACAAAACTGGACTTCTGAATCAAATGAGCATCCATTTCTCTCCTTTTCTTTTACTAATGGCCCATTTAAAGGATGCTGCAGACAGAGATAGAAACCCACAGTAGGGCTGAAAATGAGAGACAACCTCATCAGGTTGATGGATAGTTTCTTGCAAATTAACTGAAACGAATGAGGAATATACCTAAGGATGAAACAGCAGGGGGCGCAGCAGCCCAGAACATTGAGGTGTAGAGATTGAAGCCATTATTTTGAGCAGGAATAGATTCTAATCATGGCTTGCGCTTTCTGGTGACCAGACGCCATCCTGAAGCTATCCAGGAGCCCACTAAAAGTTGCCTCATTAGAAGAAAAGATACCCTATCACCTAAAAAATTCCAGTGGATTTAGGAGGCCTGTGTCAGAAACTAGGGTCAAAGACCCAATATTCGAACAAAAGATTCTCCAAGTACTCTTATACAAGGGTTTTAGGAGCACTGTGCCAGGAACCAGGGATATATATATAGGTTTACATATCTTGTGTGGTTTTTTTAAATATGAATTTTAGAATCAGCATCTCTGATCCTAATGTAATTTGAACTGATTACGTAAACTTTATAAATAAATTTATGGAGAATTGACACGTGACATTTTTATAATGCTGACTTAACCTATCCAAAAATATAGTGTGTTTTAACATTTGTTCAAGTCCTTTTTTGTGTTCTTCATTACTAAAGTTTTTCTTATATATGTTTTAAACATTTCTTTAACATTTATTCCTGGGCATCATGAAAAAAATCAAATCCAGGACAATAAATGTACCCTTGGAATAAAAATGAAGTCAGAGTTTTGACTGTAGCATCCAACATTAACATTCAGAACTAAATAAGGGTATGCCTAACAGGTACTTTTAAGTAGAAAAAAATGACTTTAAGAAATTTAGGAATATTCCTTTCCGACTGTATTTGCTAGAGAATAGGAATTCTAATAGTCTTGGTCACAGAAGCCTCATAGGTGACCTAAGGTAGAGGTGCCTGTGTTGGAGCGATTTGTGGGTGTTGCTTTTGTCTCATGGAATAAATCTCATTAAGACTGATATGAAACCCATGACATTTTAAAAGACAGTTGTAGTAACAGAAGCACTGCCAGATGGGACATTAAAGAACAGACACAGTTCAAAATGAAAAGAGATTTCAGAGCCCTCAAACTTCTATAGATGGGAAGAAGACTGAGAATATATCTCAGCTGAAAACACGTCCTTTCTCGTGGAAAATAAAGGATGAACTAGAGTGTGGAGTGGATTCTGGAGCCACAGAGAAGCACTCTGAGGAAGCAAGACTGAACCCTAATTAGAGAACTGGCGACATGTGCCTGGTTAGATTTCAGAGTGGCTATGGACCATTAACTGATGTGTGTCTCCTGTTCTCTACTTTTTTGAACAGAAATACCTGTTACAGTTGTCTTGTGATTGTCCCCAGCAGAGTGGCAATAGATAACTTTTCTCTTTAGGTCACAGATCTTCAGATTGAGATGAACTATGCTTGAGGAACTGAAATTAAGGCAGATGACCCCAAGAAGTCTCATCTGTACTTGGACCTAAGTTAGATGACAGGATCCTGCATTTCAAGCCTGAAGCTGATGTCATAATATGACAAGACATCTAATGTTGGAAGGGCACACGGATGAGTGTTTTTTACAGGTAAGAGAGATGCAGATGCGTAGGGGCCTTATGGAAGATCATGAAAGCTAGTGGCTAAAGATTGTTCCTCAATAAACCACACCTTCCAGTATTCACAGCCTTATGTGGTTCCCTTCCTTTGAATCTGAGCTTGCCCTATGGCTTGTTTTTGAAAAAGGGTCAGTGATGGAAGTGGTACTATGTGACTTCCAAAGCTAGGTCCTAAGAGGCTTTTCAGTTTCTGCCTTGGTTCCCTAGAATGCTCGTACTTGGGGCACAGTCTCTTGGAATCCTGCTGCCATGTTGTGGGAATCTTGAGCCATCTGGAGAGGACATGTGTTGACACTCTGGTCAACATTTCTAGGTGAGCCACCAGGTGATGGCCAGCATGAACGGCATGCCATCTGAGGAGCCATACTGGATACCCAGTCCAGTTGAATCTTCAGAGGACCACAGTCCTAGCCAACATCTGACTTCAAGTGCAAGAGAGAATCAAAGAGAATACTGCCCTGTAGGGTGAACCCAGTTAAACCATAGAACCATGAGAGAAAAATAATAAATTATTGTTTTAATTCATTACATTCTAGGTAGATTACTGGAACACATAGCTACACAGACACACATACACATACACACACTTGACTTGTAGCAGAGACTGGCTAGTTCTGCACCAAGTTTCTTTCCTTTTCCTTCTGAATACACATATTGACTGTCTCATCATACGACTGAGTTCTGGCTAATGGAGTATAAGTAAATGTGACGTACATCATATCCAGGTTTGCCATATTAAAACTTCCTGTGGGCGCCTTCACTCTCGCTGTTTGCTTGCTGGATGAGTATTTGGAAGTGACACACTGAAAATGACAAAGCCTCCATCTGCTTGGGTTACTGTGCTTTGTCACTGAGTTTTAGGGTTTACTGTTAAAGCAGCTAATGTAAAATTAACTAAATACACAGCTGAAACAAATTGGAAATATTTTATTTTGCATTTTACATTTGTGTTCATAAGTGAGATTGATATTTAATTTTCTTTTCTTTTTTGTGTGTGATTCTTGTGATATTAAACTCTTAAAATGATTTGTATAGGTATTCTTTTTCTGCTCTCTAAATAGTGTTTTTAGGATAAGGATTATCATTTCCTTGAAAGCTTGGTAAAATTTTCTGTAAAGTATTGTTACGCTACTCTCTTTTGTAAGTGAAGGAATACTTTTTACTCCTAATTCACTTTCATTTATGGTCAATGGTTTATTCAATTTTTCAAAATAATCTAACCTCAATTTTGATAATTTGTATAATTTTTTATTCTTCTAGAGCATTATAATTTTCATCGAGGCTTTCAAATTTACCAGATATCTGTTTTATTAAACTTTAGAATACTGACTCTTTGTTTTCTTGATTATATCATTTTGTTGACTTCCACTTTATTAATTTCTGTTCTTCACAATTTCTCTGTCAACATTCTTTATATTTACCTTTTTTCTCATTTTTCTAGCTTTTCTTCTAACTCATTTCATCCATTTAACAATCTTTCTTGATTTTTCCATACATATAGTTAGTTTAGGTTTATAAAATGTACTTCTATGTGTATCAGGTATTTAAACAAATAAATTAGGTATTTTTATATGTAATGTTTTAATTTTTGTTCAATTCTAAATGTTTGTAACTTTTATTATTTCCTTTTAATTTTAGTTTTTATGTGGAGAATTTCAAACATACATAAAATTAGACAAAATAATAAAATGAATCCAAAAATATCCACAATATTATATTAATATAATAAACTACTAGACTCACAATGCTCAGGTCTAATATCCAACAATCTATGTACACTCCTGCCTTACCTAAATCCCAGCCACATTCCCATCTACATTCACCTAACCACTTCACCTTTCCCATTATAATTTTGAAGCAAAACGTGTAAATATTTCAATACGTATTTCCAGAAGAAAAGGATTATTTTTTAAGCAAAAACGCATTATAATTATTATACATAAACATTTAGCAAAATATTTTAATATCACAAATATTTAAATATTCAGCCAGTAAAAATTTATAACTGCTTATTAAAATGTCATGATGTTTTAAAAAATGCCTTTGGAATCAAGATCAAAATTAGGTCTATACATTGTGATTGATTGATGTGCCTTTTATATCTTTTTAATTCCATAGGCTCTCTCTGCTTCTCCTTCTGGGACATTTTATTTGTTGGATAAATCAAATTCTTTGTCAGTTTTCCACAGTATGGATTTTGCAAATTATATGCTCATGATCTAATTTAACACATTCATTACTTTCTGTACACATATAATCTACAATATGAGTTAAATTACTCCTGACTGTACATTTTAAGTATTTTTGTAGTCAATACCTTCCATCTGAAAGAATGATTCTGTGAGGGTGGAGTCTGAGATTTTGGTGTCTAATCAAATCATGCTTCCTAATGACTACATATTGTGTTTATGACTGTTACTGACCCAATGAAAAACATTATTTCAAGAATGTAAGATAGATGAAAGACAAAATGTATTACTCTATTATAATTTTAAGATATCTTAAGGAATGGAAGGGTAGCATTTAATAGGAAAGGCAAAGCAAAGATATAAGGGAGAGACTGAAATAAAAAACAGACTCTTGAGGAAGGGACTTTGGGTGAGACTTACGGTTCTGCAGAATCTGAGGTGTTGGTAGAAAACAGGACGAGGAGAAATAGCATGAGACAGGAGTGAAGAAGTCTGCCTTTCCCCATAGTGAGGGACAAATCACAGGTATCGTATCGTGCCCAGCTCCCAGCTCTCAGCCTGGTCCCTGAGACCTTTCGAATTTACCAGGCTTTATGTGGCTGCTATTTGCAAACAAGCTCCACCCCAATGCCTCCAAACAGAGTTCTAGTTGGGCACAGGTCCCCTGAAAGGGTTGATGCTCTCAGCGATTGCCTCATTACTCTCAAGGCTAAACTCTGTCTGACAGGCTCTGAGTCATTTCCAGAGGATGAAATTTATGTTCTAGTGAGAATGAACTTTCTTTAACTTTGACAGCAAAGCTCCTGATGAGGAACTTTCAATCCACCTTTCTTCAACGCCTTCAAAATTCTTACAAGCAGGTGTCAAAGAAAGCTATCTTTGAAGGTCACGGGACATGTCACTATGCCAGTAACTCATAATACAGATTCATGTCTGGGATTGAGTGAGGTATAACTTTAACTTTAGGGTGATTTCTTTTTTTTTTTTGAAGGAAAGAACCTTTGTTTTTAATTAATTAATTAATTATCTTTGGCTATGTTGGGTCTTCGTTTCTGCACGTGGGCTTTCTCTAGTTGAGGTGAGCGAGGGCTACTCTTCGTTGTGGTGCACGGGCTTCTCATTGCAGTGGCTTCTCTTGTTGTGCAGCACGGGCTCTAGGCATGCAGGCTTCAGTAGTTGTGGCACGTGGGTTCAGTAGTTGTGGCACATGGGCTTAGTTGCTTCACGGCATGTGGGATCTTCCCGGCCCAGTGATCGAACCCGTGTCCCCTGCATTGGCAGACGGATTCTTAACCACTGCACCACCAGGGAAGTCCTAGGGGGATTTCTTGACAGAGGATTGAGTACGAGGCCCTGGGAGAAAGTAATTCAAAAGAAGTGCTTGTGCATGACTAAAACTGCAGGTGTCCCCCACAAGCCCCCTGCACCCCTCCCCTCAGCACTCTCTCCTGGCCTCGCTCAAGCTGCAGGCAAGCCCTGCTCCCAGCACTCTTCCCCTGCATCACTAAAGCTGCAGATGTGCCCCACCCTCAATGCTCTCCTGCAGCCTTGCTAAGGCTGGGGTCCGGGGGGGTGGTAAGCACAGTTTGCACAGGACACCTCTTGATGACCTGGTGCTGGTGGCCAGAGGGTCTAACCTCCCTGGGCCCCACAAGTCTGTGACAATTAGAAAGACAGTTCTAGGTAGGCTACCACACCCAGTGCACTGCACAGACAGCAGAAAGAAGCATACCCACAGTCTGCTGTGAAAAAGGCATTTACTTGTCCTGGAACTTCAACCTGGGGGACATGCTTCAGGATTGCCACTCATCTAGAGGCTGCAGACGCACTCGTGGGGAACATAGGCAGGAAGACATCATCGTGGCACCCTCCCCTGACCTTGCCATGGCTTGCTGGTACCTTCCAGAAGTGAGCATATACACCACATGAAACCTCAATTTTGCAACTGTTGCCTAGGGAAATATCCCCAGATCTCCTGGTCTGGAGGTCAGCAGGGTCAACAATTGCAGACCCACAGAACTATATATATTTACATAGTTTAAAGCTGCTGCCCGAGGATCTAGCTTTTGATCAGCCTGAAACTAGGTGCTGACTGAGCTCACTCTTTTTGGAACGCAGACAGGTCTTGAAACACCCTCAACAACTGGGACCTATCAAGAACAAAACTTAGACAATCACACAGGTTTGAGAGATAACCAAAAACTAGGGCAAGGATAAATGCTAAGTTTCATCTCCTACACAAAGCCACTCCTTCCAGACTGGGAGAGTTAGCTCTTTCACTTAATATGTAGACTCAAACACAGAGAGTCAAGCAAAATGAGGAAACAGAGGAAGATGCTTCAAATGATAGACCAAAACAAAACCTCAGAAAAAGACCTTAATAAAATGGAGGTAAGAAATCTATCTGAAAAGAAGAGTTCATATAGTCAAAAAATGCTCACTGAACTTAGGAAAGAATGGATGAACATAGAGTTTCAACAAAGAGATGGATGATGTAAGAAAGTGCCAAACAGAAGCCACAGAGCTGAAGAATATAATAAATGAACTGAAAATAGGCTTGAGGGGTTTAACGGAAGACTAAGTGAAGCAGAAGATCGGATCAGTGACCTGAAAGGCAGAGCAGCAGAACTCACCCAAATAGAGCAGCAAAGAGAAAAAAGAATTTAGAAAGAGTGGAGATAGTTTAAGAGGCACAACATCAAGCAGGATAACATTCATATTATAGGAGTCCCAGAAGGAGAACAGAGAGAGGAAGAGACAGAAAATTTATTTGAGAAATAA